AAAAAAAAATTATAATTGACTCGAATGTCTGGTATCAAAATTGAATAAAAGATTATTTTACCTACATCTTTGCCCCCATTTCATTTTTTGTTTGTTATATATATATATATACCATGATAAACATTTGCAAAATTAATAATGTTTTTTATAATTCTATTCTCTTATCTTTAATCAGTAGGCTATTTCCCAAGGAAAATGCCCCAGGGGATTGTACACTTCGTTAGTGTAGTTATTAAGAGTTCCCTTTCATAATTAATCTACAATGAAAAGTCATTCATTTAAAGCATTTGTACTATGAAAATTAGAAGGAAAAAAACTGACTTTTCATTGGATGAGAAGGGGTCACGTTTGTGAAATTCGTGTTCTTGTTTTTAATTCAAAATGCAGTTTTTAATCGGTTTCAATCAAAGATTCTGCCAAGCTGATAAATGTGCTTAAGGGCAGTTGTAACTCGCTTGTTGAAAATTCCTCACTAAGAACATGTTAACATACATTCTTCACAATTAATAATCATCCAATCTTACAATTCCATCGGTCGAGAACACTTTATTATATTTTGAATGAATAAAAGTTAGAAGGAAAATTCAAACAATTTTGTTCGACTGAGATAAATGTTCATAAAATATAACCAAGTATTGGCTGACCAATTTAGAACATATTCATCTTCGAGTGAATTACGAACCGTTCCTACATCAAAGGCTATATTATTAATGCACTGTTTTTTTTAAGTTTCCTTGGTTTATATATAAACAGTCAAAAATGCACGTGGATATCCACAAATATTCCCGTGCAATGCCAGAAATGACAAACCTGCTCCAGATTATCTTCAGATAATACTGTTCGTTCATCAGTGAACGAAAGAACTTTTTCTTTTTCCTTTTCATATGACATTACTTGAAAAACCCAAAGCCTCATATATCTTGTAACATGAACAAAACCGAAATGTAGTATTCAATATGTAGGGCAAACTGGGCGTGAATTTTTCAAACGAACACAAGAACATCTATACCGCTTCCGCAGACCTAAGAAATTCAAAAGTTTAATTTACCAACATTTAGAAAAACACAAACACAATATTAAATTTATAAAATTCCAACCACTTCAAACCGTCAAGAAACAACCAGGAAATCACATAAACAGTTTGAAGATTCCCGTAAACTTTGCAAACTGTCTTGGAGTAAACGACTACAGACAGCGTATTCCCTAAGTCTAAATGACAATATCATGGGCCAAAGGAACATATCTAAAACTTCCTCTATTGATATCATGACTATTGTTGATAAACGACAACACAATCAAAGATCTCATGGCAAACGCATTAACCGCAATTAACGAAATAAACATCGTTCTAATTTTATACTTGATGATTTTTTTATCTATATTTAAAAACAATGGTAGCCATCAAATATTATGTAAACTGGGTCAAATACCAAATAGTAAATTACATTATATTTTTAACGAGTGAGATACAGTATCGGTTTTCAGTCCAAAATAAGAGTGTACACGAATTAATACAGCCTTTTGTCACCATAGACTGTTCCCTAAAATTGACAAACCTGAAGATCATAAAAAGTATTTTATAAAAATGAAATACATTAATAGAGGTATTGATTTTATTAATTTTTCTAGTATATTTCATGACTCTACCGTTCAAAACTTTATACCTCCATATTTTGATAACATAGAGCCACCTATAATTTCTTATTCGTATAAAAAAAAAACAGTAGAAGTTTAATTTTTAATTATACGTCAGTTACATCAGGAATGTAAAACAATTCAAACGAGAAAACTAAATGGCCTGATTTTCGTACAAAATAATGAACGACAAACAACTATGAGAAACAGCAGCAAACGACAACCACTGAATTACAGGCTCCTGACTTGGGACAGGCACATATAGAATGTGGCAGGGTTAAACTAGTTTGAAGGCGCCAACCATCCCCCTAGCCTGGGACAGTGGTGTCCTCAGACCTGAATAAGTTTATTTAAAGTATCAATACGTTTACGTGGATCGTATCTTAATTTACGAGCTCTACTAACAACATTCCGTAAAAAATTGGAATTTGATATCCTGATTCTAATAGAATTTCTACACGAAAAGCCAAATTGTCAAATCAAATCTGTGTACATGTATCTATGAGAGAATTTAGTAAACGTTTTAATTAATTTGTGGTAACAAAATCTCTGACTTACTAATTTAACAGTGATACATAGATTACGTTCACTGAAATCTTAAACGTCACTACAGTCACGGACATAGCAAGCAAGGGTGTCAGCCTGGTTTGCCTACATTTAATTGCAGGTTAATAAAAAACATAAGGTGTTTTGTTGTTTTAACAGTTTTTTGTTGTTTTTTGTTTTGTTTATTTCTGAATAATTGTCATATTTTGTTCCTAAGTTTACTTACACATGTATATAAAGGACACTTAATTCTGATATCGGATATGTTCCTTATGTCGTAACTACAATACCCTTCCCTTTTCACGAATGTGACTTACCGAATTAGACTATTTACCGGATTTGTAATAACATAAGCAACACGACGGGTGCCACATGTGGAGCAGGATCTGCTTACCCTTCCGGAGCACCTGAGATCACCCCCAGTTTTTGGTGGGGTTCGTGTTGGTTAGTCTTTAGTTTTCTATGTTGTGTCATCTGTATTATTATTTGTCTGTTTGTCTTTTTATTTTTGACCATGGCGTTGTCAGTTTGTTTTCGATCTATGAGTTTGACTGTCCCTCTGGTATCTTTCGTACCTCTTTTAATTCTACTATTAAATTAAGGGAAATGTGACAAATATATTTAACAAAATATGTGCAATTTTTGGAAATACCAAAGAAATTTAGAAAGAAAATCCATTGAATTTTACAAATATTTATAACAAAATATATATATTACTGGCGCAAAGGCTAATAATTCTAGGATTGCTTTCATATAGAATTGAAAATATAGAAATATCTATTATTGTGACAATATATTAAAAACATTTCTAAATTGTTAGTAAAATTCTGGAAAAAAAAGAATAAAACGAGTGCCATTTAAAATTTCTTTTTATTCATTTACGTGTTTTCTTTTTTAATGTTTGTAGATACTTCATTCTTTAAATTTGAATATAGAATAAAACAATAAATTCTAACAAATAAATGTATTTTCTTGTTTCAATCAATAATCACGAGAGGCAAGTTTTAAAATCAAGTTTCATCAACTCTTACAACTTTGGAGGACATCGATGAAGCTGACAACGTACCCACTACAACAATACTTATCGACTACATGACAGAGTTTTGGGTTAAAGGATACCGTTTTTATTGAACTACTGCTTAACCGAAGGACCCCGCACAAATAACCACATGGAAAAATAACACAAGAAGATTAAGAGGAGACTTCGATATGCCTACAACAACATCTTCGAGATCATTGAACCAGAAGACCCAAGCATTAACAGAATGTACAATTATCCAGTTTGCAGCAAGAGCAGCCCGTCCTACAAAAAGACGCCAATACAGAGTAATTACAGACTCCAAACTTAGGCTACTGAAAGACAGACACTAACATGCTCTGATGCAGCATGTCATGTACTTCATTTGAACTGAATGACTGTGTGAAATATAATAAAATTTGCGATTTGTGACTTGTAAATTTATTGTTTTTTTACTTTTGAAATATAAATAAATAATTTAGAAATTTTCATCTTATACATATTACTTATTTACATAGTGGTTTATTTATTTTCTCATTGCAATGAATTTATAAATTTTCTTCATAGATTTTATAAATTATGTTTGTTATAAAAGACAACTTTGTTATACATTGGTGTATTTGTATCATTACCACTAAAAAGTTTAATGATGAATTATTAACACTTTAATAAATGAATGCCATTTTTTTATTTATATTTATTAATTTAGTTGTCTGTTAAATGAATTTATTGAACTGACATTAAATTATTCACACAAATAAAAGTTGAACTTTACAATGAATCACAGATAATATATACCTTAAAAGTTGGAACAGACTTTACAATTGTTTGCTCATTAATCCTTTTGTCTTTTTTGTTTTCTTAACCAATAGACAACATGATAGATGATTGGAATAATTAAATGTAGGCAAACCAGGAGTAAACCCACGCAAGCAGGGAAATATACACACCGTAAGAAGGGACCAAAGAAACACCCCACCGGTCAAAGAGTAAAAATTTAACAATAGGAACTAAAAATCATCTTTTTACTTTTTATATTGCATCAAAAGCCACATATTCAGAAATATGGAAGGGAAAATACTGTTTTTCATTTGACGAGAAGTGTATTTATGTTCCAACTCTGTATTAAAGATTGAATTGTGAAATATATATTTACAAAAGAGACCTCAAGGGTAACTTGTGTATTCATTAAATGTATTGACAAACATTTCTGGCAAAAAGGTCAGAGTTAATATACCAATGAGAAAAAGATGGTATATATACAACATGTAACATTTGGATTTTGAATTATTCATTTTTGTGGATTTGAAGAACCTACATTATCTTCAGACAAGATATCTAAGATACATCGTGATCTGTCCGATGGTTGTGTTTGTCTGGTTTTTTTCCCGTATATAACAGTTGGTTGTTGAACAAATTATAACAGTGGTTGTGTTTGTCTGGGTTTTTTGGGTTTTTTTCGTATATAACAGTTGGTTGATGAACAAATTATAACAGAACTTGTTAAATTTCTTTGCCCATTATAGTCTGTAATTTGTTAATGTTAACCTGCATTTGTGTTTTTCTTGGCACAGATGTAGCGTTAATGACATGTATCACAAACATCCGTTGAACAAAAGCTTCGAGCCGTCTTGAACTGTGAGCTCCGTGTAAGAGACCTCATTTCGACATTGAGATGATTAAGGCAGTAAAAGCGATGTTACTTTGCTGCTTTTGTCAAAAGTATATTAATATTATCTGTTATGAAGTAATACACCAATATCCCTTTATTTACATTACTGTAAAATAGAATTTTACTAACCTAAAGTCTTATTGGTGTCAGTTGTCACGGGACCATCTCCAGCACTAGTAAATCCTGTGACGCCAACATAGTAATATGTATCAAAATCAAGTCCAGTTATAGTATGTTGAAGAGTTGTGTTGTCCACTGTAATATTGCTTGGCCAAGCGCTTACAAACTTATAATATATTATTCTGTAACCTAAAGATATGGGAACAATATATTCATCAAACTTTTTAATTAACGAAAATGTGACTAGTTAAAGAATGTTGAATTGGATAGAATGTTTTTTGCCAAAATAAACCGATAGAAAGTTTTGCCAAGATAAACCGAAGTTAAACAATAATTATTTTTCTCATCTTATAAATTTTGGAAAGATAACCTATTCATAAAATTCAAAATAATTTCATATATGAAATGTACTTCAATCGGAATTTGGCAGTTTGAAACAATCGAATTGTTGTTCCTAAATTTGAAAGCCATTTAAATCTAATCATTTCTCAACCCATTTATTATTTATAACAAACTTTAAAAATCAACGTTTGATAACATTGTTCTTTTCAATGGTTTTGTCAGTTTCTTTCGACTTATGAGTTTTTAATGTACTTTTTTGTGCCGTAAATAACGAAATTGTTTTTTTTGAGCTCCACGGTGTATTGTGGTAGAATCTACATTTCTATAATCGTATTCCGTTTAATTAAATAATGACTAACCTAAGAGAACCCCATTTCTATCTTTCGTTGCTATTTCTGTCCAGTCTACTTCAATTTCAGTGTATGATATACCAACTGCTTCCACTGTATCCGGCGCTTGTGCTGGAACTAGTATACAATAATATTCTACATTGCATTGTTAAGATTTGTAGTACTTTTATATTTCAATAAACTTGTATATACAACATTTATGATAGTTTATGTGAACATTTATAGTTACGACAATGAATTCTTTATTTCAATAAACATTTTGATGCTCACACCATACCTTGATTATCTTGCAATGATTTATGTAACCCCTTTTTAGAGACGTCAGATGTTGAGTATCCGATGTAACGAGGGATATAACATTATTATTGAAAGTTAATTATCTCCCATTCACCAAATGATTCTCAATTTCAAAATAATTTTTTTTACAAATAAACGTGTATGGGAGATACGATAGGTCATATGCTTAAGTATAGTATATGTTATGTCGCAAGCTCGGACATCTCTAGTAGTAAATAAATAAAGGTAATAATAAGTCTATGGTCCACCTATAAAAAGAGAAAACGTAACTGTACTGTTCTGTGTGCACCTTTTTTTTTAAATTCAAGTATGGCTACAAAACTACAAATATTTAGTTTCATATTTGTATATATATTGATATGACATTGACTAAAAGAGAGGCGAAAGATGCCGAAAAGACATTCAAACTCATAAATCGAATTAAACTGACAACGCCATGGCTAAAAAGGAAAAGACCAAAAGACAAACAATAGTACACAAAACACAACATAGTAAACTTAAGATAGAGCAACACGAACCCCACCAACAATTGGTGGTTATCTCAGGTGCTCCGGAATGTTAAACAGATCCTGCTCCACATGTGGCACCAATCGTGTTGCTCATGTTAGTAAAGGATGAAGTTTCGCGAAGGAAGTCAATTTAGCTTTTAAAAAGCTTTGTTTTCTTATATTTTAATATCATTTAATGAAAGTAACACGTCATAATTTCCGCATGTCCGAAGCGCTTTTCTGGATTTACCTTTATCAAGAACGTTCAAACCTAGTTTTTTGAAAGTATTAGATTAGTTATAAACTTAATTGTACCTGGCACTAATTATGAAACAGGCATACGATAATATTATACTTTGAATACTCTTAGATTTATAATAATTTTTTTCTAAAATACATGTATATACAACATTGGTATTAGTTCTTGTCAACATTCATAGTTTTGATATTGATTTCTAACTTTCAATGAACATGTTGGTGCTCGTACTGAGACTCAATAAGCTTGTTATGAATTATGTTATGTAAATAAATCAATAGTGGCAAAAAGAGCTAAACGCGAGAAAAAAAAGTATCCTGAAAAACAAGTTGATGTACAGTATATGGTAAAAATTGTGTATTTTGAATACTAATATATAAAGGGCACATTGAGAGAGTGGTATATAATGAAGTACGAAAAATTAAACTCCTTACCATCCGTTAATGTCTGGCATTCTATTGTTTGTGTAGGTTCATTACCAGATGATGTATATGTGTAAAGAGATAAGGTGTAGATACCATATTCCCCGAGACCACCGTATGTGTAAGTTTCTACAAAGTAGTCATTTACGTCCAATTGCTGAAATAAAAATCATATAACCATAGAAGGTAATTAGAATCAAGAAAATATGCCACAAAAATGGCTCTTTGGACGCGTCATTTAATTTTGAGTTTATTTGAATTATCTTTATAGTATAACTCTAAATTTTACAGATTTGATATGAACTCATTAAAGTGGCAATGACAAAATATTTTGCTAACCATAGTAGGTACAAATAAAGAGCCAAAAGATCAAAAAGATAAACATGGACTTTGCCCGAGAACTTCATATTATGCAAGAAATTAAAGTTGTAAAAAATCAGCAGTATCGCATAAACCTTTTTCACACAACATCCCCGAAGTAAATGGTCGTGGTAGGCAGGATTTTTTTACCACACTTACGGGAAATAGCAGCTATTATGAATAGATAAAGGGAACTGGTCACAAATGAATAAGCTTCTTGAACAACAAATTAAGCAATGTACGGAGAGTTAATAGTATTTAAGTCATAGGAATACTAAAGAAATACTGCAAAATACAATAAAAGAATATTATTATTATTATTATTACAATTTTTCTATAGCGCTAAATCTAAAACAATATTACTCAAAGCGCTTTACATCACATGTTAAACGAAATATACACACAGACAGTGATAAAAATATAAAACATGAACACACAAAATAAATATTTAAGTGTTAAAACTTTTCTAGATAAAAGGATTAATAATGTGGGAATTTTTACAAAAAAGTGGAATATATATATCAATGAATCAAAATAAAATTATACTGAATAAAGTTGGTAAAATAAATAGCCAAAAAAGTCTAAAATAATATAGCACAATAATGAAAGAGCAAACTAGTTGGGAGGTCTCGCTGGTATTTCATGCACAAGATAATGATCTGCAGGCTAGTGAGGACGCCTCGCTGGCTATCGAAATCTGCAAAAACGGAGCCTTACCTCAGAGTTTCCGTGGGACGCCTAGCTGGTCAAAACATTACGGTTTGGACAGATTTATACTAGTGGGGACGCTTCGCTGGTAGGATTATAATAATCTTGTAAGGATGCCTTGCTGGATAAATCGATCAGGCTTAAAATGAATAAAGCTTGTGGGAACGCCTCCCTTGCAGGATCACTAGAAGATTATACAAGATTACAACAATCTAGTAGGGACGCCTCGCTGGATGAAACGATAGAGCTTGATATGATAAAAGCTAATGTGGAAGCCTCGCTGGCACGAGTTTTTTAGTATTTTTTGGTATGTGTAATAGAAAATGGGTAAGGAAGCCGTCTGGGGACAATATGAATTTCTACACCAACATGTACAGATGACATATTAGCACTCTCTGCAGTGAACATTAGGGTATCATGGACATTGCATACCACCATACACAGAGAGACCCAGTCAAAATAAATCAACAAAAATCGGACCTTGTATGCTACAATACCAAGCAGGAAAGAGTAGCGCATATTGGCAGCTGTCAGATAGGTAGAAGTACATTTGCAAAACATCTAGGTATAACCAGAAATGAAAAGAATACAAATGATATTGATGAAAAACTGAAAGTAAAGGAAAGGCCACTATCTATGGCATGTTAAGAGCTGGACTCCATATAAGGATAGGTTTTTCTCATGACATATTGGTTGAAGGTCTCAGTACTTACTTGGCTATCTATCTTTTATTTTCTTGGATACTTTACTGCGTAGTGCTTCAACCCTTTTTAAATATTTATCGCATAGTGCTTTAATGTACCCTTCATATTGGACATAGTCTCCATACATTGCCGATGAACGCTTCTATCAGTATATTTCGTATATTCAAAGTTTAAAACATTAGTCTTAAGCGCTTTTGCTATAGACTGTTTTAAACTAGTATTTTATGCATGGATCAATGATGATTTTATACAGATAAATTATCATCTTTCTCTTAAAGGGGCATTAGCTACGAGATATAGAAAAAAATAAAATATGATTTTTTTTTGTTCAATCATTAATGAAAGTGAAATAGTGATATAATAATTCGCTTTTAGCAGCCAGTTTGGTTCAGTTTTGACAAAATAAGCAAAGAAACATCGCTAATGAATTATTCACTTGCAAGTGAATAATTCGACCTCATTAAATCCGTATTCATGTGAACTTCAATTGAACCCTTTAGCTAGAGATGGGTTACGCATGAACTAGGCGTGTTCAGCTATTAAAAAGAAAAGAATGTCAACATTGAAGTGAATCAAGGGCAAACCATTTGGTTGACACGTTTTTACATGCATGAACTGATGCAAAAATGACATTTCTTTAGTTGATATGAGTTTTAAGTGGTTGCATGTGTTTATTTGTATAAAGCGCATTGGTCATGCTACTATGTATGAGTATGCCACTGTAGAACGACGATTCATACTTGTAGAAAAAAAGGAAATTGTCTATATTAATACAATAAATACAATAAAAGTTTTACCTAAGAGATGGATCATAAGATCAACATTATACAAATAAAACTACTAAATAGGGAAAAGCTATAGCAGAACAGAAAAGCTAGTAACACTTAGTGTATATATATATAACATGCGGAATATGCAATCAGAGAACGCAACCAGTAATAATCATAGACTGTGAAGTATGTAACCATTTGATGCACCACACATATGAAGGCATTACTCCAGACTTGATAGGCAAAATTGACGAAGATCAGTATACATGCAAGAGCTACGTTGCATTGGATACAAAACCTTTATCACAAAAAACTTCTGTCACAACCAAAACTTTAGAAGATAATAATCTAGAATTTAGTCCAGAAGATCAAGAAGTATCAGTAGAATGCAGTACATTGAAGCCAATAAAACAAGATATACAAACCAATGGAAATAATGATACACGCCAATGCAGAACAGACAAAATAAATACAAGGAAAATGGAAATACACAGCAGCTAGAATGTCAACTAGCATCATGCAGGGCATAATCAGTCATAATGGAGTCTAACCATATAGATTATAATACCACACATAACCTTGTACGAATGCAAGCAGAAGAGAGCAAATGAAATAAAGGAAAGTCTAGACCCTCTCAGACAAGCTGTAAATGCAGCAATAACCTTCATGAACAGACATTAAACAAAAAATGTACAAATAAATCTAAAGCTGTATATCAAAACGCCAAAATTCTATAAGTAACAAAATTAACAATTGAAGAATATGCCATCAACAGAACACATGAGACCAAAAAATCTTATTATAAACAGAAACGAACAAACCAGGTAGATATCGCAGAAAGAACAAGAACTGGTAGGGCAACTATATATAGTCTACCAAGGGATGGTTTACATGTAAGAATGTAATAATACATCAAATACGGCTGTCTACACTTTGGTAGGAACAGAACCCTTTAATATTACCATGGAAAAAATATACTAGTACTTACCTCCTTTGTGAACATTGCAAGAAACACAGAAACCTTAGAGTGGGAAATTCTGCGCAGAAGAATAGTTTTTTGTTGACCATAGAGGAAATGGTTTTACCAATAGAGTGGGGAAAACTCTTTCCAAGTATAACCTAAAGTCATGTAGCTACTACATAAAATATCCAATTAAGAAAATCGAATGGAAAAGATTGATAGGAACTATACGGAAGCGTAATAGGGACATAGTAAAAAAAAATTGGCATTGAACTTTTTTTCATTTTTATGCACCTTTCCTAAGTCAGGAGCCTGTTGTTCAGTGGTTGTCGTTTGTTGGCGTGGTTCATATGTGTTTCTCGTTTTTTATATAGATTAGACCGTTGGTTTTCCTGTTTGAATTGTTTTACACTAGTCATTTTGGGGCCCTTTATAGCTTGCTGTTCATTGTGAGCTAACGCTCCGTATTGCAGGCCGTACTTTGACCTACAATTTTTAACTTTTTATACATTGTGACTTGGATGGAGAGTTGTCTCATTGGCACTCATATCACATTTTCTTATCTAAATATTTAAAAAGATGAGATGGAAAAATCTATGTACGAAAACATTATAAATGAAGGCAAACTCCTTCAGCTTATTATGGGCTGTACTAGCAAAGACATCAACTGTCATTCAAATATGTGTGAAGATTTAGAAAGCACAGCTAGAAATATGTACTATGAGATGCACCAACATTGTACTAAATGGAGGAAAATATGATCACGAGTACAGTACATGAGAGCCAAAACGGCCAAAACCATAATAAAAAAATATTTGATTTTTCTTGAACAAAAAATGCAAATAACTTTTATATATATCTAGTGGATATTTAAAACTTTTCCAAATGCACAAATTTGTCTGTACTCGAAGTAATTTTGTAGGTGTAAACACAGCCATAATTGTCCATTTGTTATGCAGAACCTTAAATATATCAAATACATAAAACTAGCAACTATTGAAGGCCGATTTTATATAATCTGAAAAATATTAATTCTTCCGTCATCTCGCTGCACTCCAATATCAGAAAGACAGAATTTCTGAACTCGTTACTCGTGATTTGTCACATGATTATCATAACGCGTGATCCTCGATATCTAAGCACTCGTTGCAAATGGGTTTAAAAGTAAATACATACCGGGAGTGCGTCAACAATCAAGTTGTCAGTTCTTTCCAAGTTCAGAATGTATCCTTGAACAACTCTGCTTGGATCGCTTGGTCTGTCCCATGTAAAGATAAGGCTTGTGGAGCTTGAAGGTGCACATGCTAGGTTTGTGACTTCGTCTGAAAATAAAATATTTCAGCTCTTTTAACAAATGTTTCGTTGTGTTTGGATGCAATCTACATATATTTAAATGATCATAGACACGGGGTATAACCGCCGTACAGTTGATTCCGTACGTTACATGCGTTCTGGAGTGGTAAACAACGACGAACAAAGAGTCGATATATGATATTAAATATATATATAAATTTAATTTTAAAAATCTTTGAAAATTTGTAACGCATTTGAAACATCTTATTTCTTCTATATTTCAACTTTGAATAGTCAAAACGCGACCAGTACAAGAATTTGCAACGAACGGTACTAAAGAAAGAAACCACAAATATCACGAACCGTACAGTGGTGAAATTTGAGGTCTGTCTTTAAATTTCTGTATTAGAAATATACAGTTTTTCATTTGTTGTGACTATTTTAGAAAATGACAGGTGACTGTATGAATAACTTGTAAACATCGTGAAACAAAGACTACATGTAACACAAACTTTATTAAACTATGAATAAAGCATGGTGAGTGTACTAGAACTAAATGTGATTGTGTGTTTTGTGATTTTTTGTTGTTTGAGAAATAATAGGTGTTCATGTATTTAGAATAATTTCAGCAAGGACGATATTAAATATAAATTCACAAGAAAACGTTCTGGTGAATATAACAATAAAAATGAATTGAAATAAAAAACAAAATTGCCATATAAATTAAATGGTATCATTTTCCTCCTAATATAAGCAAACGACGAGTCTATAGGAGCTTTATGTAAAGTTGGTTTAATTAAAATGTTGCTGTGTGAATAAATTCCTGGAGTAACAACCTCAATTTATTTTTCTACTAGCTGTATACCTCTCTGGAATTCACCAATTATCATTTGGTGTACTCAGCTAGGTAAACAAAGTTAAGGAAACAAATACCAAAAGAATCGATTGATAAGCTGCGAAAATTAACACTTTTGAAATCAAGTTACTAAGCAAATTCTAACAGACCTAAGCACTTTGTAAACGAATGGAAAGTGAATACAAAAACATCAAAAACACCGCAAATACATGTACAAAAATCAAGACGACCTATTCTTAAAATTAAAAAAAATAGTAAAAATCTTTTAACGAATAACCTACTTTGTAAAAATATTTATCTTAAATATTTAACCTGCACAGACACAACTTTTAAATCGTTATATCCACAAAAAGACAATATTTCTGTATTGAAAGTTCGCGTGACAAGAGCAGACCGGCGTATTCGAAAACCTAGATGTGGAAAAAAGGTATACTTTGGGAAATTGTAAGATGCTAAGGACTATGTGGAACACTCCGAAAATTGGTGAAATGAAAGAGCTTTAGATTTTGTATGCACATGATAATTTCTAATTTTTGTTCAATAATGCAGCAAAGATAAAAAAAAATAACATCTTTCAGTTTCACAAAATTCTACCGCAATTATCTCAATAAAGAAAGAATATTAAACATCATGCATTTGCACCAGGGGCGGATCCAGCCATTTTTAAAAGGGGGTTCCAACTCAGGATAAAGGGGGGGGGGGGGGGGGGGGGGGGGTTCCAACCATTTGTCCCCATTCAAAATGCATTGATCGTCTAAAAAAAAGGGGGGTTCCAACCCACCGGACCCCCCCCCCCTTTGGATCCGTCACTGTGCACGTATACTTCTAATAATGTATACTTCTAATAACACAGTTTAAGAAAATGTATGACTGTTGATAAGAAATAACTTTTAATCAGTATCGTCATCCGGCGTTGTTCTACTATTTATTTTGTAGACTTTTTCATAAGAAGAGGTTTTTTTCAATTTTTCTCGCGTCATCGGTTTTGCACTGATATCCCGTAATAGACATTAGAGGAAAAAAGTATTGCTTGTAAAAGGATAATTTGCTGACATGAACCGGAATACTTTATTTCATTGGAAATATTGCACAGCAATATTCGAGTTTCGTTTATAAATTGTCCACATGCATTATTCTCGCATCAATGGTATACGCGATAAATAGTTTGTCGCTGTACGTCAGTGTGAGGTTTATACTATACAAAGAAGTCTCACTCATTTGGTATATAATTGTTCTTCCACAACGAATTTACCGATTTCTTCCTTTTTATTGGTGAATAATTTGATGAAGCTAAAACAAGTTTAACCCCGGCGTGCGACAATCTATATGTGCCTGCTCCAAGTCAACAGCCTGGAATTCCGCGGCTCTCGTTTGTGCTTTTGTAATATTTGGTTTTCGTTTATTGATTATCTTAATCAGCCCGTTGGTTTTTTCATTTAAACTGTTGCACATTTTGTCATGTCCCGCCTTTTATAGCTGACTATACAGTATGGGTTTTGCTCGTTGCTGAAACCAGATACCAATCCTTTATCGACACATACATGTATCTGTATTTGGATCACTCCTCTGTTGTGCTATTTCCAGTAAAATATTGAATTGAATTATAATTTAGGCATATCAATTATTTTTTACATGAATTAAACCCCCCCCCCCAAAAAGCCTTCGACGACATACTTTACTCGTCGACAATTGCTACATGTATTGAAATCAGAATTTTCAAGTACACCGGTTATTTCCTCTTACCTTAATTCCTCCTAAGCAATTTTGGTTTTTACTAACTGACATTATTTAAAGAAAAGGGTATGTTATCTTTGGTAATAAATCTTCAACCTCTGTCAATTACTAGTCTGTCCTTCCACGAAATATATTAATAGAATATATTTATTGCTTTTCAAACTTTCGAAAATTACCACTGACAACCAATCAGACAATAATTTTAGGTTTACAATTTAAATGCATAAAAGTACATCGAATGATAAGAGCTAGCAGATACATTTGTCTTTTAAAATATACTGTCATGTATGGATCGTAACGATACCATGTGAATTTATCGGTTTTCAAGAGCTGACAGCGCGTGATCCCAACAATTGCCTCTATTTTCATGAGTGAAAAAAAAATGGTATAATGGGGAGATAATTTTGACGAAGTAGATTCTTGACTGACCTGTACTGAATTTCAATCAACTTCTTCCACAAGTATAAAGATACGGATAAAATACTATCATAACTCTTATCAACAAAATTACTGTTAAAAACTAATGTCTGTTTTTATTATTGCAGATCATGAAGAGTAATAATGTTTTATAAAGTATACATTTTTTAACTATCTATGCAAAACATTGGGCCTTCAGCTTTACTTTTTTTTTTATTAAAGGACAAAATTAATCACACGCGAAAAATTTGTGGTAGATGGTTAAATAATGTTGTATTCTTTCTACAAGTCATTTACAAGTTGTAACACATCTAAGGGTTTTTTAATTATTTACCTTAAATTCAGAATTTCGCCCCATCTTGGAATCTGGAGTAATAACATAAGACAGCATTGCTAACTCACAAAACGACACCGGTTCGTATTATATTAAACATTCCTATATATATATCTTTTTTTATAGAAAAATCATAATAGTTACAATATTTCTACCAGAACCAGAGTTACCAGAAAAGTCTACTGATAGCTGAATTTCTCAGGATCAAAATAAGCTTCATTCTGGTCATAAAATTTGACCCCTATTATGTTAAACACACGAAATTAGCCTAGAAACACGATTTTATCTATACATGTATTTGCATTTTAGGGCAAGTAAACTGTCTTTTAAAAAAAACTGCAGAACGAAATGCTTACATAAAATTGGAAGCGTCTTTTAAAAATTTTGATGAATAATGACAAAGTTCCAAAAATCTAGAAAAATGGGGGGAATTTTTCAAACAACAAAAGAAGGAGTACAACTTCAGTTTACCGTCTGCATAAAAAAGATTATACGTACGATGGTTTATTTCAAAAAGGTTGATTTAAAGATGATTTTCTGTCCAAAAGGTCAAAAGGAAACAATTTATGAAACATACTTACATAAAGCATAGATAGAGTGAAGAAACACCAGGACAGATACAATGATCAGTACTTTCTCCATCTAGGTTTTTAACCTATATCTGTCGTGAAGGACAATTCCTTATAGCTACTATTTCATAATTATAATTAATAAAAGGTTAAATCCGATTAATCAAGGATTAATCTATTTGCGAATTTACTTAAAAGAGTGTGTGTGTGTCAAATAGTAGACTCACTTAATTTTGTTTAATCTATTTTAATTAATAATCTTTAATTTTCAGTGTTTATGGCATTAGATTTCATGCAGTATATAATGCTTAAAATGATAGTTTCAGGAACATGAACTTTAGTCAACCTTTAAAAGGAATTTAAATCTGACAACAAGGAATATTATATTTTATTCTCTGTGTCATGATAACAGATTTAACTAAATGGTAAGACCTGAGGGAATTTCATAGCTGAAACATTATATATATATATTGTAACTTAGATCAAGATTTTGAATAATGAAATTATTAAGTCATTATAACTCGTAATATATATATATATATACGTGCGCACAGTGCGATATGAACTACACCTTTTTACTGATCCCATTTGGTACCAACGTTTTTAATTTTCTTATCCAAAATCTTTCCCGAATGGGTGGTCATTGGCGGAAATTATTGGTCTACCTGGATTATTGGCTTTGTGTATTTCGGTCAGAAGATAAAAACGTCCCGGGTTAATTTTTCAGGTTTTAAGTATTCAAATGTGTCTTCATCCATTATAACCCTGTTCAAAAATGATATTCAAGTCTGTGGTGACTATTTTGTTGAATTTAGAAATTTGGTCAGAGCGTCTAATTTCTTATGAAATCTTTCATCAAAAAGTTGACGTTCTGCCTCTCGAGTATAATCACATTTGTCCATGACGACAACAGCGCTACCTTTATCTGCTGGTTTTATTATTATGTCGTCTCTTTTTTTAAGCAACTGCACAGTTTCATTTTCTTCAGATGATAAATTGTTGAATGTTTGTGAATTGGAGGTGGACAGATATGTTACGTTGGATTTAATATTATCTATAGTGTGTTCTAAAGTGGCACATTTACTGGGTTTAGGAATCAATGAACTTTTTTTCTTAAAATCTTGGAATTTCGACTTCATCGCGTTCTTCATCTGAGTCGAGATCACTTATGTCCCCCTGTGTGTTAATGTTGTCATTGTTAGAAAGTATTCCTTAATTCTGAGAGATCTAGCTTATTTGTCAAGGTCATCTTCCAATAGTAAACTATCAATTTTTCCCGGCGTGGAAGAGATGTTCAGATCTTTTGATAAGACTTAAGTCTCGGTCTTCGACAAAGCAAATGAAGATAAATTGACTACAATGTTTGTAGAGCTCTTACACATTTTCTTTTTTTCTCTTGAAACTGCGATTCTGGGCATTTTTTTTAACGTTTGTGTCGATACGATATAGAGTTAAGGTGGTCTGCTATGGAATATTGGGGTCTAATAGTCTCGTTCAAAGTTTTTTAACAGTTTTTTTATGTAATTTCCTGGATTCAATGCGTATGATGTCTTGGAGGCGCTCGTTGATGGTGAGCAATTAAGGATCGGAAAGTACCTATAATGATTTGTTATAAAATGATTATTATAATTTTGTAAATTAAAATGTTAATGAGACGCTTCGGCATGTAAAAGATCCATCAGCTTCAAAGAACCACAGTAAAGGATATCATTCCATCTTTCCATAAATCTGTTGAATTTTTCACCCGTGGTAAGAGATGAAGCTTTCAAAACTAGCCTTACCGAAATAATGCCTTGAGACAGATATGTCTTCAAACTGAAAACGAGATGTTCAGTTTAAATTATTTTAAGAGTCAGACGTCTAAGCTTTCTAGAAATAGGACACAAATGCATGGTTGAAAAAGCAGTAAGAAACATCCGATCTAGTGAGACTTCCTCTCTGCATGGTCAACTAAGTAGATTGTTTCTCCACAGTATCTTTATGTCTGGTACCATATTGACGTCAACTTCGACTTATGACTTATTTTTTTTGTTGACTCACGGAATGGTTATGTCAGTGTGACTCTGACTTCGAGTGACAACATACTTTAACAGTTTTAATCGTTTATGCTGAAATTATCCTGTTTCTTTGTCTGTTACCGATAGCACAATGTGGTATAAAATTTGATGTACATCTTTACTCAGTATGCCAGCATTGCACAACACTGTTGTAGACCTGCGCTAAAATTCTAACTGTTTGCTAATATACATCACTGTGTAGACGCCATAGTTAAAACCACCACTCCTTGCACGTGAAAAGTGGTGTATATTTAAACTGACAATCTTATAAAGTAAAAACGGCGAATGCCAAACCATTCAGTTTTCTGTTGTTTGGTTGCTGTTTTATTGATGTATGCGTTGTATCTTCTTTTACTCATATTTATGTTTTATGTGTCAAAAAGTTGCAACTTATTTACCAAAGATTGAAAATATTATTGCATTTTATAGCTGATGTGTACTTTCAAAAAAATAAATTTCATGGCACCCCCCCTTTTCTTAAAAAAACATAAAAAACCAATACAAAATATTTAAAAAATCGTTTTCAACGCATAATAAGAAACAAGACAAGCTACTTCTTTCAGAGATTAGCATACGATGTATAGGGTTTGAAAACCTTATATAGTACACAATTTGCGAAATTTCCTCAGAGAAGGTATTTGTTAAAATCTGGATCGTTATATACGTATTATATACATTTATAGGTTTTTTTCCCCACTTTTCGTTTTTTTTTTAAGTTGTGAAGTGTACAGATTAAAATTGAATAGTCCAAAAATTCTTAAGCATCGAATCAATCATCAAATGAGTCTTTATCATGGTTTTTTCATGATAAGAAAAACAAATTTTGCAAAACATTGATAATTTCTGTATTATTATACCTTTTCCAGGAAACAATTGCTTCATATAAGTTTTCATTGCAAGCTATGTAATCAAACCTCTGACCGCGCAAGGGCTGTATAGCCAGTCAATGTCGTTAAAAACTTCCATACATATGTAATCAAACCACAATATAGCACTGCTGGGAACTTAGCCCTCCACGGAACTAAGTCAAACCTGTACGTATGTTGAGGCGACGGGATGAATTCTTAGATCCAACTTTACCCATAACTGTCCTAGTACTATTTTAAGAGAAAAGGGGGAGGGTTAAGATCTGAAAAAAGCCTTCATTTTAACCCTGTTATATTTTCATATTCCTGTTCCAGGTCAGCAACCTTGTCAGAACCGCACACACGCACTTGCTTCAAAAGAGTTTTCTGGGTGTCAAGCGAAAAACAAAAGAATTAACGCACCCACAATTGGGGGAAATTAGCACAGACGTCTTTGCACGCTCTACGTACGCCTTACTCATTTTCTGCAGTAAAATGATAACAAAATCAGGGAAAACTAATAGAAGAGGAAAATGAGAGAAAAAAAAAACTCTCCTTCTTTCGTGATTCTATGTTTTTATATCAACAATATTCAGACTCTTTCTGAAATGATTTTGTGACTCTAAAAAGATACGTTTTCAATATGCAATTGTCTTTGTTCTGTAATATTCTGTCTGGGTGTCATCACTTTAACTGCTTCTTCAGCAGTGTAAACATTTGTTTCTTCCTCTTACACTGCCGATTTCTCAGATACTCTCCCTGTGTGTTTTATTAGACGATTGATTAAATTAACTTCCTCTCTGCATGGTCAACTAAGTGGATTGTTTCTCCACAGTTCCATTACGTCTGGTACCATATTGACGTCAACTTCAGACTTTAAATGCGACTTATTTTCTTTTGCTCACGGAATGGTTATGTCAGTGTGACACTGACTTCGACTGGAAATAGACTTTTTAACTTTGTTTAAACCTGTTTATTTACTTTTGACCTTAATTATTTATCCCTTATAATTTTTATCAACTATGTATTTGAATTCAGGTATCACAGATCAAATTTATTCGTTTATCGTGTGTTAATTTACGTTTTTTGATTGAGTTAAGCCTTCCAATTGATATTTTATAGTGTGTCTTTCTATGTTGTGATGTTATACTATTGTTTCAGAAAAGGGAGAAGGTTTGGTACCATTAAAACATTTAATCCCGCTGCAAATGTTTGCACCTGTCCTAAGTCAGGAACCTGATGTACAGTAGTTGTCCTCTGTTTATGTAGTTCATACGTGTTTCTCGTTTCTCGTTTTTATATAGATTAGACCGTTGGTTTTCCCGTTTGAATGGTTTTACACTAGTAATTTTTGGGGCCCTTTATAGCTTGCTGTTCGGTGTGAGCCAATGCTCCGTGTTGAAGGCCGTACCTTGACCTATAATGGTTTACTTTTATAAATTGTTACTTGGATGGAGAGTTGTCTCACTGGCACTCATACCACATCTTCCTATATCTATTTTGCAGTTTTAATCGTTTATGCTGAAATTATGATGTGGCTTTTGTCTGTTGTCGATACCACACTGTGATATAAAAGTTAATGTACATCTATACTCAGATTGACGGCATTGCAATACACTGCAACTCTCCTATTTTACGTAGACCAAAGACCTGCGCTAAAGGAGTAGGTCCGGTAAGGGCCGATTTTGGCCTCAAATTTCAGGTTCATATGACGAAGGATTTTGGACACTTTTTGAACACTAAAGTGTCTATTTCAGTTGATTCTATTAGTTTATGTGAAAGATTTTAACTGAATTAGTCATTAAAAACGCTCCGATTCAAGCTTAAATATGAAAAATATATCAAATATGCCAAAAATGTCACTTTTCAGATGGTTTTTGTCAAAAATGAAAGTGGCCGCATTCGTGTTCATCCTCAACCTTTATATATGTTATGTATTATCATCAAATACAACTTACTTTTCAATATTAAGAATGAACACAAATGCGGCCACTTTCATTTTAGACGGAAACCGTCTAAAATTTAACTAAAATGCTAAAATTGTGAAGATTTCAGTAATTTAGCCTGACTAAAGGATGCTAGTACCTGATATATGTGCATTGTATTGTCAAAAACAGCCCATATTTATGTAGCAGAAGCATTCTTCTTACCAATAAATAACTTAAAGTTTACATTTTAACAATTTTGTAAAACTGCTATATTTTGGGGCCAAAAAGGGGTCTTACTGGACCTACTCCTTTATAAGTGGTTACTAATATACGTCACTATGATGACGTCATAATTAAAACCCTCACCCCTTGCAGGTGAAAAGTGGTGTATATTTAAACTGACAATCTTATAAAGTAAAGACGGCGAATGTGATACCGTTCAGTTTTGTGTTGTTTGGTTGCTGTTTTATTGATGTATGCCTTGCATCTTCTTTAATTCATATTTATATCAATTTATGTGTCAAAAAATGCAACTTATTTACCAAAGATTGAAAATACTATTGCATTTTATATCTGATGTGTACCATTAAAGAAATATATTTCATGGCACCCCCTTTTCTTATATAAAAAAACCAAAAAACAAAGCAATACAAAAACACCAAAAAAATCGTTTTCTACACTTAATAAGAAACAAAACAAGCTACTTCTTTCAGAGGTTAGCATACGATGTATAGGGTTTGAAAACCTTATATACTAGTACACAATTTGCGAAATTTCCTCAGAGAAAATTTAAATTGTCCCAAAATTCTTAAGTATCGAATCAATCATCAAATAAGTCTTTATCATGGTTTTTTCATGATAAGAAACACACATTTTGCAAAACTTAGATAATTTCCGTATTATTATACCTTTTTCAGGAAATAATTGTTACATATAACACTACAAACCAGTAAAAGTCTGAAATGGCCTATATCTGTACTCGACTGTGTACTGATTTTTACTCGACCAGTCTGAATTGGTCTGAATTTTACTCGACATTACTCGACCCCAGTCTTAACCATACTCGACTGTACTGATTTGTACTTGACCCTTATCTTTGCCATTGAAAATAGTCTGAACTATTACTCGACCAGTCTGAAACAGTCTTAACCCATTCTCGACCTGTACTCGACCTATTTTTTTCAGTCTAAACCATACTCGACCAAAGGTCTGAACAAAACTCGACCAGTCTGAACCATACTGGACCAAATAACCTCTACTTTTTCTAAATTTTAACTGTTAAAATAAATTTCTTTTTAACTGACATGAC